CCCCCCCCAAAAGCTGCAGCATCAATTCAAGGTGCCGCCGACCAGTGAAACCACCACCATTGCCGTAATAACCAATAGCGATGAGCTCGGTATCGCCTCTCGTCCCCGTCCCCCGACCGCCGCGTTCGAACTCGTCACCGTGCCAACTTTGACTTGGGTGTCCACAAAGCCGCTCCCACAGCTCTTGTCCACCTGGTTCGCGCACGGCAAGTACGTCTTGGCCAGGGGCTGTACCGCGTTCGTCGCGTACCCAGCAAAGATCTCCATGGTCTTCTTGAGACATTGGCTACAACTGGGTCGCGCCGTTTCTGGCATCGACAGCCCCACAGCCGTATAGTACGGATAGAAATCGGCCGGGTTGGATGCGTTAGTGATGGCTTCGCTGAAACAGTAACCTCCCGTACTCTGGTCCTTCAGACATGTTGCCCGATAGACCGGCTCGTAGGCGAGGAATCCCGCATAGGCTTGCGAGACGAGGGGGTTCTGCCGCTTGTAGTCTTCGCCGCAGTTTGCGTGGTCGATCAACTGTGACGCCAGATTGCTCAGCAAGGGCGAGCAGATCGCTAAAGGCGCATTGCACGCTGCATCCAGAGTCTGCGTGAGGAGTGTGACCGATCGTTGGGCACGGAAGAATGAATTGGAATTCTGCAGGAGGAGGGACACAGGCACGCAGGACTGAAACGTCGAGTTGTTGAGGAAGCTGCTAAAAAAATCGGGACAGGCCGAGCTGGTGAAGTTGCTGCCTACAGAGGTATCAAAGGGTGTTGGTAATGGTGTAGTGACAACTGTAACGCTGGGTGTGGCCAACGTCGAAGCGCTTGATGAGGACACAGAAGTCTTGGTTTCTGTGCTGTTAACCGACGTCCGGTCGGCCGAAGAGGTGGTGGTAGGCTCCGGAGATGAAGATGAGGAGGAAGATGAAGATGGAGATAAAGATGTCGAGACAGAGGTAGGTTCGGCCAATGTTGTCGGCACCACACTGTCCTCGGCTTGTCTCCTTTCCAGTTGAACATTCCTGCGAGGAGGCTCTCGACGGTCCATGTGTATTTCCCCCCGGATAGCTAGCTCTTGGTAGAAATTGGATTCATAGATTTGTGCGTCCAATTCCATTACTTGTGCACAGCTTGGTGTCGCAATGATGATCAGGGCGATCATTAACGAGAGTATTGTTGTCGTAGAGGTTGCGTAGTTGTGGGAATGCCATCGTCTCCGCTGTCGTAGCTGGCTATAATGAGATGACATGGCTCCTGGTGTCCTTTGAAAGGAAGGTATTTATAACGAGCGTCAGTAGAGATGATGTTCGATGGTAAAGAACGGACGCCTCTGAGTTCTCCTCAGGGCACGCACTGCGGCAGGACAGTCGTGAAGCCAAGAGGCGATCACATCGACTTTCGAGAACGTGCTGAGTCCTCGACGCTGTAGTACCTCTCACCGCTCAGGTATTCGAGTCTCACAGAGTCGAGAGGCTTTTGGTCATTGATATTCAGTTGATCGCACCCGATTTGGACTCCGGGGAACGATGTCGCACGTGTCGCACCCTGGACGTTGATCCTGCTGATCTGCCGCGGAACCAAACGTTGTGCCGCTTCGGGAATAGAACGTTTCAAGGTGACGACGATAAGCAAGGAGCCGGGTTCGAGATCTGTCTGAGTCGCAACGATGGGAAATGTATGATGGGATACCCGTGCAGTGTTGTCAGAGCAAGACGGAGAGACAGCATTCAACAACAGCAATGTCTTAGAACACAAAAGACTGAAGAAAACGAACAGAACAACCATAATCAGACCTTCCGCAAACAAGCAGGTTAGTCAACACACACCTACCAGGATATGAGTACTGGCTCTGGAGATTGAACCCATCCAAAACATGTGAGCGGTATCTTTACCAGTCAGCGTTAGCACAAGCCGGCCATTGGAATGTGGGCATTCTTGGGACAATGGGAGGCCGAATTAATGCCTCCACCAGGCGTTAAGGAGGCGTTCGAAAGCGGAAAGCCTCACATTCCTTCTGGTAAGCCTTTGAACGTGTGGATGGCAGAGAGGTAGGAGGCGCTTCGTGGCGCTCCGTCCACAAACTCATTGGGGGTCCAGAGACAGTCAACCACGAGGAAACGTTCATTTCGGCCAAGGTAGTTCGGATTCTGGGCCTCCAATGGCCCCCCTTTCATGGTCCAGAAGAGTCAGACTGTCGATCATGGACTTGGTCTAACCGACATCAAGTGCCCCATCCACCCCATTTCCATCTCTTAGCACGAGCACACCCTGTCAAACACTGACAGAAAAGGTCCATGTGGTTGACGGGGGACGGGAAAGGCTGACGCCGCGGTCGCGCTAGGACCACAACCGTATTGGGAGAGGGAGGATTGCAGGATGCTGCATTCTATCGAGACACTCGAAACGTCAACACGTCAACTCTGTCAGAAAAGGATGGCATCCCTGCAGGGAGTTACTCGTAGGCAAGTTTCGTGCTTGCGCAGCAGTTTGTGGGTGGAGGAGTTTAGGGAGCTTGAACTGAGTCAAGGACAAACTCTGAAAGAGACGAATTTACCGGCGACTCGCTTGAAGGTGCCAAGATTCAATAGTTAGTGAAGCCACCATGAATGCAAGAAATGGCGTGAATCAGGGGGCCGACGAACATGGAGTCAGAGCATCTGAGAGTCTCCGGCTGCGCCCCCAAATTCGTCGCTACAAAGGACGAGTTCGAATATGGCGATTCCTGGCCTGTTGATGATAATCCTCATCCTACAGCATGGGAGAAATCATCGGCTTATCCGCTTCTTCGTCATCTCATTGGTCTTGCTATATAATTGGTCATTTCCCCCCCTTCCTCTACCATCGGCTGGCTACAAATCAATAAATAATGTCATGGTAAAGCAAGGTATCTTGTCAACTTGCTCCATCACAGTCAAAATTGCTCCACGTCAACTTCGTCTCTGGTCAGCGTCGAAAGCCAGGGGACCCAGCTCGGCTTCATATTGCTGGGAGCGTAGTCTATTCTCCTTCTCCTGCAGACGTCGGTTGAAACCCATGGTAGCCCAACCTCCGAGCCGGTTGAAGAACACTCGGCCTGCAGGGTGTTGTCTGACCCGGTCCAGGAGACTTGTCACTGCTTCTCGAACTCGCCAATCTTCATGCCAGAGTCCCAGGGCGACGTAGAACAGTCCTGCTTCTGACATGGGTGCCATCTCCAGCAGCTCCAGAATACTTTCGTAGTCAGTGCAATAGGCTTCCAAGGCCAGATAGATGGCTCCAGCTTCCGTGGGAGTCAGGTGCAGGGTCCTTAGTTTAGACAACGAATGATACAGATCCACGTACGGCTTCGTCGGTGCTCGAGCCAGCATCTTGGTCATACTGACTGGAGACGTTGGCGAAGTCGGGTCCTGCGCATGTGCCGCGAGATCGGAGATGAAGGCATAGTAGGATCGCGTATTACGCCATCCTTCGATTCTGGCTGCAGATGCTGCCAGTTCGCGGGTTTTGGCGTCCTCGCTCGGCCAGACATAACCATGTCCCTTCAGATTCTTACTGGAAGTTTTGAGAGACATGGGCCGGGCAGGTGGTGCAGGTGTAGTAGCAGTCGCATCCACGTTATCCACCTCTGTCGGAGGTATCACCGTCAGATTGCTGGCTCCATATACAGTCTCCTCGAACGCTGCCGCAATGCGGGTGAATTTCGTGATATAGGCGCGAAATTTGGCGCGAATGATAGACTCCCCGGCTCGAGACGTGATGCTTCGACTGATGTCTTCCATAAAGAGTCCGTCTCCCGTAGCGTCAGAGTGATGGAGGTCTTTGTGAGTCAACGCAGCATGCCCGTGCTGCTGGAAAAAGGTTGTCCCCTCTGTGACTGGGGCAGCCTCAATGCAGGATGAGATTTTCATCCTGCCTGACGGCAGGTCGCAGAGCAGGTCCCACCATTCGGGGTGGTAGGAGAAGGCAGGATTCGTGACACCCGCAATGAATCCCGGGACTTTCAGAAGTTCGTCGATCTTGGTCAGATCGGTATATGGGAATGCATGACGGGTGAACCCTCGTAACACACCACCCGAAGCCAATGCACATGCTGCAAGGACAGCTTCTGCAACCTCTCCGGAGGGCCGATTGTGGCCCAGGAAGATGACTCTCTTCTGGGTCAGCATGGCATTGATGAGGACAATTATTGGATGCGTGAAGGCTCCAGATGTAGTCAGGTGGGGATGCAAGGCAAAAGGCTGGGGTTGAGACAGATGGGGATTGCCAAAGATTTGAACGAGCTTGATGAGTGAAAAGTCTCCCACTGTTTCAGGTGACAAAGCTGTAGGGATCTTGACTGGGATCGGGATGCTGTTATAAACAATCTTTGACTCGAACTCGTGTGTGTCTCTGGGAACCAAATACTTCTGCTCTTGTTTTGTTGGCGATTCCGGGGCGTCTGAAGTCTGTGCAAGGGCCTCGTCTGCTAAGCGTTGGGCAATCATCTGCTCGAATTTCTCCACAAACATGTCCTTAACGTCGCTTGCCTGCAGAATGTGTCGCTCCAGCAGTGACAGCCGTGGCATCAGAGACAAATCCATGGCATTCAGTGCATTGTATAAGAGTTCCAAAGTGTCGGGCGTGGGTGACTTGAAATAGTCCTCGAGGGCGAGCAACAAGAGCGGTTTGTATATGTGGAGAAAAGAGTGCCTCGTACAAATGGCCATTGCCTTTACAATAGCGCCTCTTTTCACCGAGCTGTCCTGTTTGGTATTGACGAGGTTTAGGACATACATCAGGGGAGGGCTGTCCATGTCGTCTGCGTCACTTTCATCACTACTGGTGTCGTCTGCGGATTCTTCTCCTTCGACATCATCCGTCTCACCCGCTTCTCGCGCCCGTCTTCTTGCCTCGCGCTGGATCCTTCGAGCTTCTCGCTCAGCGGCCTCGTCTTCACTTGTGCCAGCATCTTTGTGTAAGAAGAACATGGTCCAATCTTGTTGCCGGACATGTGTTTGATCGGGAAGCATCAGCTCGGCCAACATGTTCTCGTCCGGGCTGATCGCACCGGGAAACTGATGTTCCATAATAGGGCCCCGATCGATGTCGAATGAAGCAACGAGTATGTATTCCACATGAGGCTCGCTTGAATGGAGCGGGTATTGCGATCTTAATCTCTTCGAGGGACGAAATGGCCCATCTTCGTATACCGTCGAAACCCTTTGAGAAGAGCGGTAGGAGCCTCTAGGCGACGGAGGGACTAGGGAGCTTTGGGAGGACACTTTGTAGTGGGAAAAGCTGGACTTGTGAGAGCCCGAGTTGGAAGAGGTGGATCGTGGGCGGTCGTGATGTCCGCTCATGTTCACAGGATGGGGTCGATAAACAAGTGTTTCGGTCATGGCTTCGTCAAGATCGTTGTGTTCGTCGTCGTCGTCGTCGTCGCCGTCAGGTTTTCTAGGTTGAGTATGGACAAAGTGTTGTGTCGTTATCATTAGCCCTCGTCAGGGTGGAGATGTCGCAGGAGATGGAAAGCGATTGAGGGACGATGTTTCAGCCCTCAGAAATAAACCCAGCCCGCGATCTCTAGCGAGGCATATGTGTCAGAAGTCTCCCAGAGAACACCGTTTACCAAGATCCGACATGTGGCGGCTGAGGTGTGTACAGTCCAAAGTTTGCTTTCGGTCCTGCTAAAGAGACTGATAGCTGAAGGGGGCACAGGTCTCCTACGCTGCGGAGGCTCCCCATAAATTTCACCCCCTGCAATCGCGGGATTAAGAAGCCCCTGAGATCGGCAATTTAGCGCCCGAGACTGGATTGCAATGTGCTGATTGGGGGCTTCGGGTTCAAAGCGCCCAGGCGCCTCCTCCCGAAAAGCTCGCAAAACCTTCCCAATGATTTCGATGCTTGCTGCCCTGCCAACATCGGCTTGTTTACACAATCACATGCCTGGAGATGATTGTCGCATCTACAACTCTCACAAAGAGGACTTCACTCCACAACTTACCGGCTATCTCTAATTCAGTCAGTGCCTCAAACGATTTCCTACATCAGAGGACCTCTTCCAAAAAGATTTGGACTCATCATCTACCCCGTGGCTCGTACTCACTCCCTCACCAATTGAAACAACCAGGAGTGGGTAGATGTCCTTGACGTAACAATGGTACGTTCGACACCTCTTGTTGCCTCTCATTAATTCGCTAAGTCTTTTGTCTGTCCAGTCTTCATACAAATCCACATTCAACAACTCTCCCCGTTCGTCGCCTTTTCGCCGTCCTGGTTCGCCCGGTTCCCCGACACTCGTCAATGGAGGAAGACCAGCAACACCTCCAACAAACAGGAGCGCTGCTTCGCCTTTGACTTCACCATCTAAACTCAAGCATGCTTATACAGTCTCGGAAGAGGAGGAAGACGAGATCACAGTATCAACACCGTCAAGAACGACCACGGATCAGCCTTTCAGAAGAGCACAAACCGAACCTCCACCGTCACCAATAGCACGCCAATCACAACCATCATCGCCCTCAAAATATGAGGCGGGGCAGTTCCTGTCGACCAACTCAAAGACTTCAGCGAGTAGGGAGCCAAGAAGACTCGTGTCCAACGGCATGCTATCTCAAAACGATAATCTCTCAAAACTGCCACCGCAGCTCCTGCATAACATGCGCGAGTCCTTCTCTGTGCTCGACTCAAATTCCAACGGTACAATCGACGCCTCCTCTGTGGCGGAGACGCTGCAATCCCTTGGACTGCACGAAAGCAATCTGTCTCAATTCTTCCCACCGGGACAGCCGCAACAGATGTCCCTTCCGCAGTATCTTAATCAGCTCGCCAATATATTGGTGGGGTTATCACCCCAACAAGAGCTGCTCAATGCTCTGTCTGCCTTCGACGACGATGACAGCGGACAAATCGATGTTGCAGAGCTTCGCGCGGCTTTAATGAGCACAGTACCAGACCCGGGTGAACGACAACTGACCGCAAAGGACATCGACCGAGCAATGGAAGGTTTCACGGGAAGGAGGATTTTGGGCAAAAATGTGATTGGAATCGCAGGAGTGCGAGGCTTGAAAGACCCTGCTCCAAAGAAAGGAGGCGATGTGTTTCGTTACCAGGAGTTTGTGGCGAATCTGACAGGCGGACCTGCAACAGACTCGGTGCATCCGCAGGGTGTTTCCTCGCGGTAATGGTGATCAATGAATAATGGTTCGACGTTACG